TCAGTGTCGTGAAGTTTCTGAACAATCCTCGCCGTCGGGATCAACTCCTCCCAATTCCTACACATAATAATCTTCCTCAATTACCATTTCATACTCTTAACACCTTTCGAGGGTCAACTCAGGTCAAAGCCAAAGTCAAGGTCAACACATTCGTCAAAATCAACTCTAGGTCAAAGTCAACATCTGGTTGACTCAACTCGTCGAGTTGAACCACCAACTCGTTGAGTTCTATAATCCTTAGAATGCTAAAAACTTCGACCCTACTCACCGAGTTCTCCTTTAACAAAGTTGAGACCTTCTACAACTGACTCACCGAGTTCATCCTTGAATTACTTGAGTCCTGTATCATGCAAGATGGCACATCTAGTCCTGGACTCGCCGAGTTCTCCATGAATTCATCAAGTTCTTCTTCATGCAGTTGGGGCTTAGTCTTGAACTCGCCAAGTTTTGTTCTTGAACTCGCCGAGTTCCACGATCTATAATGTCCACAATCAACTCAACTGGCCGAGTCTTCTTCCAACTCAACACATTGTTCATTATCAGAAGAGGTTTGGGGAAAACTACGACCTGAATCGCCAAGTCACATGAGTGACTCGCCGAGTTCCTCCATGTCAAAAACTATTCAGTCGACTTCAGTCTGGCTTAATGCATTCAAAACATAGATCTGACCTCCTAGGGTCCATATTACACATAAGGTTAGAAACTTGACGTTCATGCATGGGGTATTTGGCTCAAATGGTACTAAAAAGAGGTTTATATGATGCATGGGACTTCCATGGCCACAAAGTTTGCACCTTTATGCCATGGGGTCCCTTTAAGGCTCTGGATCCAAAGTTATAGCTCCCATTCAAGCTTGCACCCATGAATCATAAAACCCTAACTTACCCCATGGATGGATCTAAGGAAGGAATAAGGTAGGTATAGACTTTATACCTCAAATGAGCTGGAAAAGTGGCACAATCTCTGGATCTACTTGCTTCCCCAAGAACCTTAAGCTTTCTCTTCCTTCTCTAGCTTTAAAATCACCACAAACACACAACTATGGATCATGAATACTCAAAAATGGGCTAGGGTTTTGTGAATGCTGTTTGGAGGTGATGGAGGATATAATGAAGGTCAGTTAAAGTGTTTAAATAGGGTGCAAACCATAAAATTAGGGTTTCATCCAGACAGACCTACTCGTCGAGTCGGGGCATCTGACTCGGCAAGTAGGTCCTTCCACTCGTATCCAAGTTTCACCTCTACTCGACGAGTTGGGACCTCCAACTCGCCGAGTCACAGAGTAAAAGTGCAAATATTCATATTAAAAGTACGTACCAGGAACCAAGCGCTACACTGTATAAGAGTGTGTATATAGTCAAGATGATATTTTCCTCTTATGTGTTGAGAGTTAGATATCTGAGGCGCATTAATTAAATGTTGGATGTGAAATCAGAATGATCACGTTCCATGTCTCATATCCAACATGATGTCTATAACAAAGAGAATATTGATACACTTACCTCATACTTCAACTATAGCTAGTGATCTCCTAGAATTGGATGTTGATTGATGGAACCCCTTCGTATGTTATTAGGGGAAGTAACCTGTTGCTAGATGCCAACTACTTTCTATGTCAGTCTTTAATGAATTTTGTGCAAGTGGGAGATTGTTGGATCTATATGCTCAAGAATCATTATTAAGTGACATTGCTAATGGCATATGATCCTATGTGGTCACACCTTAATCAATTTGCTACTTATTGAATATTTATTAAGTAATTTGATATTACTAAATAAATTCAACTTTTGTATTTAATTAGAGAAAAATTATTGTTTTATGTAAACAGTATTGTAAGAAATAGAAAACTTGTCATTATATGATATGGCATCATAAAATAAGCCATGTACAAAGTTTTGGACACTTTGATTAACCATGATTTAATAAATGACTTACTCTACTATGATTAGAAGACTAGCCAACAATTTTTTTTTTGTCTCCATTAGGCCATATGGCAGAAACTTTTGAGTGATGGAGGTTGTTTGTCAACCTTCATCCTCTTATTCCCGTTGCCTTTCTTTCTAGATAATACTTTAGAGTATATTATTGGAAGGGCATTACTTAGCATGAGATATATAAAGAGGGTCTTATGCATGAAAAATGAGTTAGCTTTTTGGTCTTCAATTTCTTCTCTTTTCTCTCTAAAATCCGTGAGTACCATAACAAGAGGCTCTCTCATCTTTTGAAGTTATTACTTGGATTTTGAAGTTTACTTTGTGTCTTCCTTTTAGTGCTTAATTGTTTAAGAACTTAAGGCTTAAAGAAAAAAGTTATACAAGAAATCTAGTAATTTTTGTACCTTATTCTTGGTGGTGGATACTTATAGAGAAGTTTAAACTTCTTGTTCTTTCCATTTTCATCAACACCCTAAATCCAAAAGGGTCCAAAGGCTTCAAAGGTTGTATTTCTAAACACCCTATGGTTGTTTTAACATCATTCTAACCTTTTTAAAAGGATACTTAATCGGTTGGTTTTGTTATATACTCGAAATTTATAAGAAATTTTAAAGCTTCTGTTGCCAAATTTTATGGAGAACTATCTATTTTATGTATCAAAACCCATCATTGTGTGCAGATTATGTTACGATTTGTCCAACTACACTGGTATTCAATTTCAGGATTCTTTTTAGGGGTTTTAGTAGTTTTAAGTAATATATATGCTCTTTATTCTAGAATGGTCTTTAATTACAACAATTTGGATGTTGATGAATATGTTCCGAATAAATAATTTTTTTTGCTTATTCTAATAGCGTTGAAGCAAGTTGTGAAATTTACAGGCTTTTGTAATGCGGATGCTATAATTGTGTAATAATAGCTTAAAGCTATGGCTAAATGTAATGGTTGATTGTCATTAGTCAAATACTATTAGTTGGCTAAATGTAATGGTTGATTGTCATTAGTCAAATACTATTTGTTAAAAATGGTTAAACACCATTATTAACAATATATGAAATGATATTAGTTGAGAATGACTAGAGAATACACTACAAGTAGTAGACAATAATATTATGTTGTGGCGGATATTAGTATGTTGTGGCTTATTACAACTGTACGCTATGACATTATATAATAGTTGAACTAGAATGATGTGTAACATTTTCTCTTGGTAAAGTGAGTGTTGTACATGTTAAATTGAAGGATTGAATATAGAACCTTCAAAGTATAGTTTGTTAATAATTATTTTGAGTAGAGACGATCAAATCTCTTTACAATTAAAGAAACTTTTACAGGAAAATGAGCTCTATGATGCTTGTGAGAACCACATATCATGGGTTAGTAGTACACCATGTGGAACACTTATGTGTTCATGTAAGGCGAGAGATAAGTTTTTTATAGATTTAAAGCTTATGATTAAAAATGGGGTAAGGAGTCGTGAATTATATAAGCACATAATAGTAGCTTAAACACCTTCATGACTCTCTCAATTAAGAGGTTATAGGTAAGTCTCGTTGGAAACATATGTTGTAATTTAGGAGTAGATTAGTATGTCGTTTTAAGAAAACACTATAATGATGCAAAATTTTTGAAAACGAAATGTGTATTTTATACTTTGCAAGAAAAGTAGATGATATTTCTGATCCGTTGGGACACTTGTTATACATTATATGGAACAATTGGGTGAACCTAGAATATGCTTGATGTATATATGTGTTGTGTTACGAGATATGTAGAAGTGTAGTCTTGATGGGTGATCTAAAAGGAATCTAACACTTGTATACCCACACTAGTTTCAAAATGATTATGATGATGAAATCTTTGGAAGGGGGAGAGAGCTTGTAACACCTGTTTTATAAGCTATAGTTTAATATACGATTTTGGTCACATGTGTGTTTTGGCTAATTTATGAATGTTATGGAATTTCAACATTGTCTCGTGAATTATGTTAACAAACATTATTATGATCTTAAGAAATTGTCATTTTTTTTTGAACCGACAAATACAAATATATAATCTATACCTAAACTAACACCTAATTCCACCTATGTTCACGACGGGACTTAAGCTCTTGACCTCAAGGAGGAAGGGCACCACCTAATACCGCTGGGTTAGAAGCCCTTTGATCATAATAGTACAAATTATGAGATGTTAATGGTTAAAGAGATTGGAAAGTTAATTAAGTGCTAAATCGTTTCTAGCACACAATGCGTACTATAGAGGTATGTGAGGCATTGAGAGCATTTGACGTAAGAACGATATTGTATGTTGCCGTTTTATGAGATGATAACATACTTTTACTCTACATGAAATGTAGGTAATGAAGACATGGCACATTCAAAGTATATTGTTAAGGAAGAAGAGGTGTGAGAACGCATCACATGTTTATTGGAGAACACGATGCAACTAAAACAGAAAGCAGAAAGCGATGCGTAAGAAGGTGCTACACGACGTGTCGAAGCCGACTCTATCAATTACCATACAAAAAGAAGGAAATTGATTCATTTCTCATAAGAAGACACACTTAAATCGACTCAATAAAATAAATTAATGTGATTTAAGATATTTGTTTTTCTATTAAAGACCGTGTTTCTTCATAGTAAAACACACTTAAATGAACTTATTTCTTTCACTATGTTTCATATTTCACACATTGTATTTTACATTGTATGTTTTATTTTCTCATCTCTAGTCTAGGCTGTGTTTAATATAACTGCTGGTTAAAAAAAACTATGTTTCTTATTTAGAATTATCTTCAGGAGTTTGGATGGAGGGTTTATTTATTTATTTTTGTAAGAACGACACCAAACCAAACACGTATCCATTTTCGCCGAATCAAGAAATGCTTTTAGCTCTCGACTTCTAAGGTTTGGGCTGCATCATATATAATAGAATAGGAATTACATATAAATACCAGAATACATTAAAAGCATTGGAAATCTGAAAAGTTATTGATACATATATGTATATTAATATCCTTGGCTTGAACTAGAAAACGGATCATCAACGACTAGAAGCCCATTAATTTTAGGTATCGATAACTTTCATGTCTAAAGCCTCTTCCAAATAAGGCTCGTCTTTAAGTTCCATACCAACATATGCATCGATTCCACCACCTCCCATTCCGTCAATCAAAATTGTCCAATTATTTGCCGGCATGCTCCCGGTTGTTACCCACATAGGCTTTCCAAAACCAAAGTCAACTTCATAAAAGGGGAACTTACACCAGCTAGAAACGAGAACTGCATGTGGAGTACTATCAATCATGAACTTGCTCTGTGACCAAGATTTGAGAACCATCGATTGCCCTTCTTTACTTTCATGACGCATCTTTGAGTAGTTACGTAAGACTTCCTTCTGAGTATTACTCAAAAGATATGCCAACCCTTTGGTTGTTTCATCATTACTAGATTTGGTTGTAAATGGCACCAAAAGATTGCCACAAGAATCTTTTGGAATTAAAGATGCAGTTCTTCCCCGCAGGTTTAGAACTTGGGTGAGAACAGAATCTCTCAGATGACTGTGTATTACTCGATCCACATTAACGAGAGTCTTCCATATGATAGCTGATACTATCTGTACCTTTGACAAATGATGGGTGCAACCTTTTTCATTGATCACAAATT